CCCGCGCCTCTCATCGACACGATATGTTTCTTCTGTGCTCTGCAGGAGTTGGAGATCTTCGACACGAGCGGCCGCTTGTCGGATCCCCCCGCCGGCGCGATACCCCCCCCCCGGGGATGAACAGCCTGAAGCTCAGCAAGCGGTCGCTGAACACGATTCTGGCATGGCTGCACACGTCTAAACATCTTCCCAACGTGAACGCCGTGACGTTGTCTCCCATACGGGGTGTGATGTGCCAGTTGTGCGCGCGGCGATGCAGCAGCTCGGCGGCGCCCTTCATCATCTCGACATCTCACCCCACATCAGCGCGCTCTCCACCGTGTTTGACTTGTCGCTGCATCCGAATCTCCGGACGCTGGCCATCCGCTGCTATGGCGCCATTGGAGAGTGGTACACCCCGGAGCATTTTGATCGCAGCCGAATGTTCCAGGTCTTGCTGAAGGCTGCCCCTCCCACCCTCGAACAGCTTTGGCTGAATCCAGCATTGCCGTACCGGAGCTTCGAATGGGAGGCGCTGGACGCGCTTTTGTCGGACCCGACGCGATTCCCGCGCTTGAAAAGCGCCGTCTTTAGGTGCACGGCCAATGATTACGAGTTTTTGCGCGGTACGCTCCCTTTGCTCGAAGCGGCGGGGGTGCTCGCGTTTGATATTGAAAGCTAGTCCGGGTAGGTCCGGGTAAACGATCGCGTGCAGTGTTCCTAGTCACTCGTACGAATGTGATTGTGAACCTCATCGCGCAGGTACCAGAGGAGGGGGGATTCGATTGACCACAGTAATAAAATAGAATATTGCGGAGAAATGTAAAGTTGGTTGTATACAGTCCAAAAAGACGGGATCGGCCGGATAAAAATAATGAGGAGAGGAGGGGAAAGAGCCATTTGGATTCAGTTGTTGTACTACTACTTACTACTTGGCGTGGATATATTATACCATCCGGCGCGACGTGGATTTCGATTCGGAATGTAGCGATTCGGTTTTGACGGACGTAATTTAGACTTGGGGGTCTTTCTGGGTCATCTCTACCCTCCACTGATCGAGCTGCTCCTTGTAGCGCCGCTTGTAGACCTGGGGGCGGCTATCAGCGACACGCGGAAAGGTGATGCAGACTTTATTCACCTCTTTCTCGGATTCCGGCAACGCGTGCCACTCTGCGGCGCGCAGCTTGACCTGCTCGACTACGGGCATGCTCGACCCCGGCTCGCGCCGTTCTTCGCTGAATCTGCAGATACAAGCATGTCAACGACCGCTGAAAAAAGAAAAAGGAATCCATACGCGATGAAGGCTGACATGGGGCGCTTGACGGCAGGGACGGAGCGGGGGCTCGTATGCGGGGCAGCTTGGCGGCCTTGCGCTTCAGGTTGAGGCGGCGCAGCACCGAGGGGTCGACCGTCGCGAAATACTTTTCTCTCGCAGGTTGCGCAGCGACCTTGGCGGCGGCAGCTTGGGCATGGTACGGCTGCGGGGGAGTTGATGGTCAGCGATGACGCAGGCGGGGGGTGAGTGGGCAAGACGCGAAGCGCGCGTTACTGACCACTTTCTCCTCGTCGGACAGGGCGCGCCAGGCGAGGCCAGCGGCTTTGGCGCGTTCGAGGACGGGTAAGTCGGGGTGGACTTTGCCAAATTCCTTCGAGTAGAAGATGAAGGCGCTGGCGCCGCGCGGGGTGGACCATCAGCCTTGGTCACGCGCGGAACTGCAGTGGGAAAAGAAATTGGTATTTAGCACGTTGAAGACACCGCCTTGAGGGACATACGTTTCTTGGGGCGGCCTTCTTCCTGACGCGCCGTACGGGCTTGGCGACGGCTTTCTTCGCGACGGCTTTCTTCTTTGGAGCGGCTTTTTTCTTGGTCGCGGGTTTCTTTTTGACTGCGACTTTCTTCTTGGGCGCGACCTTCTTTGCGGGGGCTGTCTTCTTCGCGACTTTCTTCTTGGGCGTGGGTTTTGCGGCGGCTGCGGCCGTTTTCGGAGGGCGGACGGCGGCAGCGTACGCGAGACGCGGGGACGTGAGGAATGTGCGGCGGGCGAGAGAGATGGGGAAGCGCGACACGGGGATCGAGGTTGGGAGCACGCGGGGTGCCGCCGCCGCACCCAGGCGGGCCAGCAAGCGGGCACTGAACGCGGAAAACATACTAGATACCAGGAGTCGATAAAACAGAAGGGTGCAGTGTGACGGCGATGTGACTCTTTCCCACGCGTCGCGTCGAGAGGGGTCACGGAGTCACACAAGTCACACAAGTCACACCGGGCACAAACTTGCATTCATGAATGCTTGTGGGCAAAGTGTTTGCGAGCACTCTTCTCGTTCGCCGCGTTCCTGTAAAGCCCCCCCTCCTCGCTCGTATATCGAACCTGCCTCCCGAGTTCGAGGCGCTGGTGGATGACCGTCCTGCCTTGCCTCTGGACGCCGTGGTCAGCCGCCTTGCCCCGCGCACGCCCGTGCACTGGCCAGCCCCGCCCAAGCGCAAGGATGCCCAGACCTTGGCCCGCGAGATTCGCGCCTCCATCCTCGCAAACGACGTTGTGGCCGCTCTAGCTATTCTTCGCGATCTACCCCAGCCGTACCCGCGCCTCGTCGTCCATGCCACCGTCCATGCTCTCCTCCGTGTCTCTGACGCTCCCCGTGCCGGTGCTATGCTTCTTTCTTTCGCCAGCGAGCGCGCTGCAACCAAGCCCCCGCGCATCCATCCCACCACACTCGCCGAAACCACAAAGGTGCTCCTTGAACGTCTGCCCAATAGGCAGGGCCGCCAGGACCGCGTCCGGACCGCCTCGCGTCCCAATTTGCTGGTGCTGGACCCCGACATGGTCTCGGAACCCGTCCTTCGCACGGCCCTCGCCCTCTACATCCAGGCCAGAAAACTCTTGATCCCTCGCGAAAGAGAGGCGACCGCACTCCTCGTTGATGCTCTCTTCGCCCAGCGCGAGTGGATCCCCGCTGCCCTCATGTTCGAGCTCCAGGTCAAGGACCATCAGCTCCGCAGGACCCTCCCCACTCTTTTGCGCGGTTCAGACCTCGACGCCCCGCCGCTTTCTCCCCACGACCGCGACCATCTCGGTCGCCGTCTCGACGTCATGCTTCGAGAGAATATACGCGTTAGTCCCGCTCTTTTCGCAGACCTCTGCTTCCGTCTCAGCGGCGTCCTTGCAAGCATCCTCAGCAATCCAGCAGGCGGCTTTGCCCCTCCTGCCGTCCTTGCCGCCCAAAAACGCGCCTCCGCCGCCCGCCGTGTTGTGTCTGATGGCCACGACAATACTTCTCCCTCTATGCGGTTCCCCGACACTGACCCCGACGGCACGTATGCCCTTGCCAGCGACCGCGGTCCCCCAAAGACTCCCCTTACACCTCAACGCGCTCAGCACCACGTCCGTGTTGCCCTGCAAGCTCTCATCATTCTCGGCACCCTCCTCGATAGCCGCCAGATTCCTTTTGCCAACATCAGCGCGTGGATCAATGTCGTAGGAAGCGTGAGTGTGTCTAGTGTTTATCGTTCTGTTCCCGATTATCAACCCACCGCAGCTCCCACCTACTATGGATGCGATCCATGTCTACACAATGGTTGACGGCCGGCCCCGCAGCGTCCCCGCACGGGCGCACCTCCGCGGTATCCTCGAATCATATGTCTCCGCTATGCCCCGTGTCCCTCACATCTACAGCATATTCAATTTCGACCGCGGCGGCTCCATCCGGAGGGGACTAAAGCACAAGATTAGCGCTCCGGCCGAAAATATGCCCGAGGTGTTTCCCGACATGGCGCTGTCGGAAGAGATCGGGTCTGACCTCGGCGCTGCAGAGGCCGACAGCCAGCGTGATCACGAAGCCAACGCGCGACTGGCTGTTGTATTGAGGGTGAAGAGGAGGACAGAGGCAGTAGACGCACCCGTGCCCCCTCTCAAGATGGAGAAGACGCGCCCCGTGGCTTCTTTCATCCGTCATGTCCCGCCTGAGGACCCCGTCGAAGCTGCTGACGATAGCTTCATGCCGCCGCCGTCGATGCCCACCTACGAGGCCCTCTTGGGCGTGCTTCTCAATGGTGGCAATGCCGGGCGCGGCGGCAGCGGCCCCGGCGTGCTGTACGAGTCCGTTTCCTCAAAGACTGTCACTCCAGGACAAGCGGCCAGACCGAATCAAGGTGCGGCTCAAGTCGAGGCCGCTCTCGACGCCGAGATGAGCAGTCCACAGTCCCAGGCTGATGAACTCGAAGCCCGCCTCAAGCACTACCACGCGCCGCGCTCGCCGAACAACCCGGATCCCCGAGTCATGTACCCCGCGCACCCGCTCGACTTTGACGCGTATCCCGCGCCGGTCAGCGCGCGCCCCGTCCCGCGGCCAGAGGCCAAGTCCGAGCTTGGGGACATTGGGGTGACGCAGCACCGAGTGCAGCTCGCGGGGCGTGTCATTGCGCATATGCTGCATGAGCGCAGCCCGCCGCTGCCGCCGTGGGAGTCGGCCCCGATGATGCGGCTGCTGGCGCGCCGCACGGACGTGCTGCAGCACGCGGTGGAGGACTGGGATGAGGTGTGGGAGGGTGCAGCGCGCGCGCGGAGGGAGGACGAGGTTCATGCGTCTGAGGCGCAGCGACTTGAGGCAGGGGTCGTGCACCACCGCGCGCCGTGGGCCCAGCGACAGGACGAGAAGGAGGATTGGGCTGTGGACGAGAACGGGTTGCAGCCGCCACGCGAGCAAGAGGAGTGCGCGTACGACGGGCTAGACGTTTTCAGTCAGCATCTCACTGCACGCACTTGGGATACGGATATCGACACATATTACAGTAGATAGTGTTTTTGTCGGGATTCCGGCTCTGCTCAGCAGGCTGATGCTGGACGTGGAGCACCAAACTACGGTTCAATTCAACGCATTACACTGAGTTCAAACAATAGCAACATTTTTGGTTCTCAAGCAGCCTACTGAGCACTTAAAACTATTTGCCAGCCCGGGTTCTCGTTTGGAGTGCAAGCAGTTTTGAATTATGTCTCTAATTTTGAGCACTAAAAAAAAAAAGAGGGCCCAACCGGGAATTGAACCCGGGACCACACACATTGCACTTACATAAGTAAGCGGGAAGACCCGAAGCGTGTATCATACGTCTAGACCATTGGGCCATTATTGAGATCTAGAAATGAAACAATATCAATTTTAGTATCAGCATGGAAGGTGCTAAGACTTGTTTCATTTTATTTTACTAGCATGAAAAATACTTTGTTTACATCCTTTCTGGGTACAGCAGGGGACAATCATACCCCACTTATTGTGTAACGTGTGAACTGTTCTTTTTTTCTCTCGCAATTCTGAGTTTAGAATCAGATCCAGCTCGATGAAATACACCCTCCAAAGTTTTTCCCACGAGCCATTAATTTTCTCAATATTTTGGGTCAGTTGAACAAAATTGTGTGTACCTCTTTTGGGCCTCGGGATAGGAAAAAAAGTATATATTCTCAGTATACAACTATTTTCTTGTAACAACAGCCTCCAGAGACTTGGCATGAATTACATTTTCATGACTAGTGGAGAAACTGATCCAGGGTTATCCACCAACCCGATCCCGGTGTTCATATTATTAAAGCAATGACAGTTTAGAGAGGGAGAAGCAAAACAGGAACAGGTTATACTCGAGTAGATACACCGACAAAAATTCCCCAGGTGTGAGCCATCTGCAACTCACACCTCTGGAGCATGGCCAATCCACCTGGTAGCCACCTACCTAAAGTGTGTAAGCCAGACTTCATATTGTATTGTCCCAGAATGGACCAGGTCAGTCCATTGTCCAGCCTCTCACACTTTCATCAGACACCCCGGACAATGGCTAGCGATTGTCTGTTGCACGGTTCCATCTGACAGCTCAGACAATGGCTTCAGATTTCCCATCTGGCCACCAAACTCTTCCTTTCAACAATGGGTGTCTCCTTCATGATGTGATCTGCAGCCGCCATTGATACAATCGGCCAGCAAATGGACTCCTCAACATCTGGTAGTATAGCATATGTCATGTTGATCTCTGCAATTCTAAATAGACAATTTTTGCCGCTTCAAACAGGCGGAGAATAGGACATTCAAATAATATGAGACAGGGAAAAAAATGAATTGAGATGAGCTCTAAATGCATTGTAAATTACTGTCACTCCTCAGCCCTCCTCAGGCTCCCCCTCCCCCTCTTTGCTCTCTGCAGCAGGTGGTGTGGTTGAACTCAAATTTGCTCGGGTACTTGCGATGTTGGCAGATGATGTGTCGATCAGATCATCCACCTCCTGCTGGACGTCGTTGCTGGTTTGATACACAATGTCGACAGCGCCATGGAGCTCCTTGTTGTGTGTGATGAGGCCTTCAAACAAACTGTAGTGGCAATCAGAAAATAGCTTGAAAAATAAGTTGACCAGGACTTACTCATCGCGCACCTTGTCGCTTCTGTTTGCTACGTCTCGCATGGTGGTGAGGGCCTTATCGAGATTGGTCCAAAATGATTGGCCGCTGTTCTGAAGGTAAACATCTCTCTGAAAAGTGGCAGTGAGATTGAGGCAGCTGAATGAAGACCACGGACTCACCATGAGGGCAATACGGCTGCACAAAGCATTGGTAATACAACATTTGGTCCCGTCAACGAATGCTTATGCGAGAGCAAAAAGGTTTTGATGTTCGGAGGGTAGCAAGTCAATGACAATCTTCTCCCCAGCTTCGTTGTTACATGAGACCTTCACACTTGCAAACAACTGAAGAAAATTAGCAATATGAAGTCGAAATCAAGGTAACTGACCTTCTTGCATGTAGAGCGATGCTGGGTGAGTGCTTCTTGAACTGCCTTCTCGATCTTGTCCATATCGGCAGGGTTGTTCTCAATGCCAGGTGGCAGATTGAAACAATGCTTCTTGACAATATACTGACCCCAATGGATAACTATATCAAAATGTCGAGTGTGAAGCACATACCATGACATGTTGGATAGGGACATCTCCCTGGTACATCCCAAGCTTTGGGGACAAGAGCACAGCGAGGGCGAACCGTTGAATGTCGAGCTAGTATAGAGGGAATGAGATAGGACTGAAATGTGAAAGGTGGCAACATACTTTGAGCTCTTGAGAAACAGCGAATGACAGCGCCGCCACCACAATAGAGTCGATGTCTGTCAACACTGCAAGAAGAAGACAAAAAAGCTTCCCTTCCCAGACGGTTCAAATGTCCTGTAGAAAGTAAGGAAAGAGGAGTGAGTAGAAAAAAAAAAAGTGGACATACATTGAGGAAGGTGTCTAGTTGCGTCAATTGCTCTCCCCAAAGTTTGAGCTTTTTCACTTGGTTTTTGACGACAGTGGCAGCGTTTTGTGTGACAGGGCCTGCCACCATGGAGGATGTGAGTTTGTCTGGAGGTGGCATATCTGCATCTTCCCTCCCAACGTCGCTGGTAGACTGAGGTCATTTGCGGGAGATTGAAGATTCAGAGGGACCACGTTGGGCAATGGCTTTCATGCAGTCCTTGAAGGCCTGGCTCGAGAAAACGGCAGACATGATGAGGAAGGGAGATGGAGGTGGAGAGAGAATGTCAGAGAATATGCATGGATATAACACTATCCCCCTCTTACATTCCTTGCCCTCAAGGAACAGAGAGCTCAACTTGTGCGCTGTGAGGCTGGTGATTGTGCTATGCACCTCTCACCGCCTCAGGTTGTCACAGTCAAGACTAAATCGCGTCCAATATCAAAGATAAAGGATTGGGGAGTGCAATGTGTATAGCTCGAAAGAGGATGGAATAAAAGGTTAACTACTACAGACGACTAGCTACTGTATATATACTGTTTTATCAAGCCGTGGGAATGAGAACATAAATATACTACAATAGTCTGTAACCATGTGTTGTACATGCATTGTCCATGAGATCTGTCAAGACCTATTAATTAAATGTGTGTTCCTCATGTGAACCGTCCCTCCACCATGTGTTCTTACAAAGCGACCTGTATCCTCATGTATAAGGTGTGTTTGTCGTGTGTTTGTCCAGAACGTTCCGAGGATATTAATAAGTGCTCATATAATATAAGCGCCAAAGATTAGATAGGCACATGTTTACATAAGGCGTTGGAACGATTAGATAGTATCAAATCGTGACATTACCCCCCCTCTAGGGTCGACGTCCTCGTCGACAGAGACAAAAACACCAGTCTCTGGGATAAATAATTTCTTCGTCGAGTATGGTAAGGACTCCTCCTTTGTTTTGTATCGGCGTATGGTTTTGTCCCAAAATCCTGCCGGAAGAATCGGTAACTCCCGAATCTTGATGCCGTGCTTCTTATTATATTCGTTCAGAAGCTTTTTTACGTGCGTCAAGTTCCTTTTTGGTTCCCAAGTCCGTTCTCCAAGCGGATAATCTTTCCATCTTATCAACCATTGATAACCACTGCCACGTTTTCTGTGCTTTAAGATCTCCTCCACCTCGTACTCCTTCTGTCCACTGATAATCTGAGGCGCTGGCCGTTTTTCCCTTCTATGCTCCGGGGGTTCCACATATGGTGTTAACTTCGATTCATTGAATACTGGATGTGACAGGTCCGTTTCAGGCAATCTAAGTCTCCAAGAGGAAGCTCCGACTTTTTCCAGAATTTCATAAGGCCCTAGCCTCAGCTTCTCTAACTTCTCCGATGGTCGATCAGTGGTTATGTCTGTCCCTTCTAACCACACTTTATCACTGATTTTGAACTCCGGTGCATCTTTATGCTTTGCATCGTAGTATTTTTTCATTGTTTTCTGTGCTTTTTCCATTGCTGCCACTGCCTCATCACGAATCTTTTTCATTTTTTCTGCAAAATCGTTCGCAGCCTCATTGCGCGACTCAACTCTATTTTCTATCCCCTTCCAGGGGTGGTATCCCGTGTTCGCATAAAAAGGCGACATGCTCGTTGACGAGCTGACTTTATCATTATGAGTGAACTCAGCCATTGCTAGCCATTCAGCCCAATCTGATTGCCGATAATTAACATAAATACGGAGATATTTTTCAATCTCCTGATTCATCCGTTCAGTCTGGCCATCTGTGATCGGGTGATAGGCTGTGCTCGGGTTCATTTCTATGCCGAGCAACCGGTTTAACTCTTTCATGAATATCGAGACATATCTCGTATCTCGATCTGATATAATTTTACGTGGAACTCCGTGATATCTAATCACGCGATCTTGGGTCAACCGAGCCACCCCTTCTGAGGTAACTTCCATATTCGTTGGTTCAGCATGGATCATTTTTGTGTGTGTGTCCACCCAAACTTGAATGGCGTTAAACCCATTGCTGATTGGTAATGGTCCGATCAGGTCCATAGATATGATTTGCCAAGGCCCCTCAGCAATCTTGTGTGGATTAAGCTTCCCCTGCTTATATCGGTGCACTCGCGTGCTTTGGCAGGCTTCGCATTCCTTTATATATTTCGATACTTGGTTGCCCAATCTAGGCCACCAATAATTACGTTCGATGATCTCCTGCGTGCGGTTTTCTCCAGGATGTCCGAGCAGAGGCGGATCATGGTGTAGTCCAATAATCTTATCGCGAAGTTCTTCGTTTCGTGGTACATATATTTTTCCTTCATAATAGATAACATCATCCTTTTTCTCCCAGCCTTTCATCTTTTTCTCCAGCGCCAGCTTTACGCTTTTGTCTATCTTTTTCTCCTTGATAATCTGATCCCAGATTTCTGCCTCTGGTCCCTCTAGCACTATGTCCTGTGCTCGGAAATATTCAGGCTTTAGCAGCACAACATTTTCGTTGTCGTTTTTTCCTTGATCATGATCTGATCTGCGAGATAACAGGTCTGCTTTTTTGTTCAGTGCTCCGGCCCGATGTGATAACAAGAAGTTGTACTCCGACAACTCTGTAATCCACCGTGCTTGTCGGCGATTGACCTTCTGGGGCAATTTGAAATACTGCAGATTTTGATGATCTGTCAGAATCTCGAATTCGTGTTTAGCCCCAAGGAGTAACTGTTGCCATTCATCTAAGGCAAGCATTATCGCGAGCATCTCTTTATCGTAGATCTCGTAATTTCGCTTGGTCTCATTTAGTCCATGTTGTTATATACCAAGCCAACGAGGAAGCTAGAGCCGGATGAACCGGAAAGACCGGAAAGACCGGAAAGAC